TATATATATATATATATATATATATATATATATATATATATATATATATATATATCATGTGTATGTGTGTATAGAGAACATGAAAAAATGGGTATTGCCATACCAACTTTAACGAGACTAATCAATTAAGGTGGGCTATTATCAGCAGGAGAAAAAAAACTTTTGTAGTGATAATCAGGATGGCCCATTTCAAACAGTTGACAAGGAGGTGTGAGTAGGGGTCAAGAATTATAACATTATACAGCCCACTTAATCAGATGCACTATGCAAAAGAATAAATGGACACAAATCAGATGTCAAGAATTATAACATTCAAAAAACAGTCAGAGAACACTTCAACCTACCTGGACACTCAATTACAGACCTAAAAGTCTCAATCCTTCAACAAAAAAACTTCAAAAAAGACTCCAACAAGAAACTGCAGAACTGGAATTAATTTGCAACCTGGACACCATTAAATTAGGCTTGAATAGAGACTGGGAGTGGATGAGTCATTACACACACTAAAAACTATTTCCCCATGCTAATTTTCCCCCTACTTGATGAGTCTCATTATAGTGTGTATGGCAACACCCATTGTTTCATGTTCTCTGTGTATATATATCTTCCTACTGTATTTTCCACTGCATGAATCCAATGACGTGGGTTTTAGCCCACAAAAGCTTATTCCCTAATAAATTGATTAGGCTCTAAGGTGCCACAAGTACTCCTCATTGTTTTTGCTGATACAGACTAACACAGCTACCACACTGAAACCAGACAATATAAAGGCATCCCTGAGAACTGGTTGTTACTATCAGCAGAGATCTCTAGTCTCTGGGGTGAAAAGGCATGTCTCTCACTTCACACAGTTGGGACTTTTTTCCTTCCACAGGGAGTGTCCATGAACCATGTGTGAAGTGATCACATGGTCCCAGAGCAGCACCCAGAACTGAGCCTTCTGCCTAAATGACAGGGAATAACAGGCGCCAACTTTCCTTGTCACCGGTGGGAGCTCGCACCCCCCCCGCCCGCCCCCCTGACTCCCCTGACTCCATCCCCTCCCTGCCCCTATTGGACCCCTCCCCAATTCCCCACTCCGGCCCCACCTCTTCCCCGAGCGTGCCGCGTTCCTCCTTCTACCCCTCCCTCCCATCGCTTGTTGCGCGAAACAACTGTTTCACGGTGAAAGCGCTGGGAGGGACTGGAGAGAAGCAGGACTTGGTGTGCTCAGGGGAGGAGGCGGAGGTGGATGTGAGCTGGGGTGTGGGGGCAGGGTGGGGAGCTGCCAGTGGGTGCTAAGCACCCACCAATTTTTTCCTGTGGGTGTTCCAGCCCCAGAGCACCCACGGAATCGGCGCCTATACAGGAATAACTCTCTCTCTTTCCATTTCAGACAGGGCAGTCACAGAGCTAGGTAAGAGGACGTGTTTTCATGTCACATTTCACATCACTCAGTTCCTTTCTATCTGCCAATGACCCCTCTTCCAGAATGGTGTCTCCTGTGGGAGCGAGTTCCCTGCATTTGCCGGGCCCCTGACCATGTTTGTTCCTCTTCCCTTGCAGATTTCAGGAGGGCTCGGAGCTACATGGGTGAGTGGGGCTGTGAGGGGCTGAGCAGAAGCTGCACTGGGGTTAGTGGTATCAGTGTTACGTAGCTGAGCTGCCAGGTGTGGGGTCCCCATGGGGCAGGAGGGGCAGGGCGTCCGCTGGTTGCAGAGCCATGGGGCTGGATTCTGGAAATGGTCCTGAACAATGCTGCCCTGAGCTGTAAGTCTCATCCCCAGGCAGCTCCCTCACAATCCCCCTCACTTAGTTCTGACGCCTCCCCCCCCGACATCTCCACTGGCCCTTCAGTGATGATCCATCCCTACCCCATCCGCTTCCCCAACAGTCCCACTCCGCTCTCCTTCCGCAGCCTGTAGAGTCTTCACCCCCGGACACTCTTTATGTCCCCTGGGAGCCCTAACATCTCTCAGGGACAGATCCTGTGCAAGGGGGGTGAGAGGATGCAATGAGCTCAATCCCCCACTCCAGCTCCCTTCACCTCACCCGAGCTCAGGAGCCAGGCCCAGCCACAGCCCTGGAGCTCCCCAGAGCCAGATCCAGCCAGATCCAGGCTATTGGTGGCAGACCCACTAGTCACCCCAACCCTTAACACTCTGTCCTTTGCTCTGGCTTTTTGGCCGCCCCAAGCAAAAAATAAATAATAATAATAATAATAACGGGGCGGCCAGAACGGCAAAGCAAAAAAAACCACTTGTGGCCGGAGCGCTGGTGCAGGGGGACCAGCTGGGGGGGGAGGGGAAGGGAGTGGGCGGGAGAGAGAGAGAAGGGGGCGGCCAGGGCTACAGCAGGGGCGCTACCACGCGGCCCCTCCCACTGCGCCGCCTCCTGCCGCCTGCCGCGAGGGCTCCGCTCCGGTCGTCGGGGAGGGAAGGAAGAGGACTGCCCTGCGGGGCGCTCTGGTTCTCCGCGCCACCGCCCCCTACAGGGTGGCCGGAGTGGAACAAAACCAAAAAACAAAAACAAACAAACAAAAAAAGCGGCCGTGCCGCCCTAGGATTGGGCAGAATGCCGCCTCGAACAATCTGCCGCCCCAAGCACCAGCTTGCTCAGCTGGTGCCTGGAGCCGGCCCTGCTGTGCTGGCTGGAATCGCTCTCCTGTGGGATCGTGGGGTCCCCAACTGACCCATGGTTAATGGGGTTATTCTGGTTTTTCTCCCCAGTCTGTGTCACCCTGGATTCAGATTACAAACACCCTGAACTCACCGTGTCTGCGGATGGCAGAACAGTCCAGCACAACCCCCCAGCCCCAGGGCCGGCTGTCCCCTCTGGGGCTCTGATCGCCGTGGGGAGGGAGAGTTTTGTGGCCAGGAGGGATCATGGTGGCGGTAGTGGATTTTGCAGGGGGTACTGGGAAGTGAAGGTGGTGGACAGCCTGGACTGGGAGCTGGGGGTGCTGAGTGAGTCTGTGAGGGACAGAGTGAGACAGGAGAGGCTGGACAAACTCCCTGAGGGGGGGTTCTGGGCTTTGGGGAGATCTGGGGAGCGGTATCACCCCAGTGAGGCCGACACAGTGATCCAGAAGTGGGATGGGAAGCTGACAGTGGTTGGGGTCTATCTGGATCTAGAAGGAGAGAGTCTCTCATTTTATAGTGTCAATTCAATGGCCCTTATTCTGAAGATTCCTGTAGAAGGTTCTGAGAGATTGTTCCCATTCCTCAGCCCTGGTCACGCTGTGGGGAGGGACCAGGGGAAACCCCTCAGCATCTGCCCCCCCAGTGACTGGGATTTCCGCCAGGAATCAGGGGTTAGTGGGTCTGTTAGTCAGGGATATCCCAGAGCCCCTGAACAGTCCCCTGCCTCCGGAGACAAGGAAGGGGCAGGAAACAACACAGGGCCATGTGCAACAGCCCCAGATCCTGGAGTCAAGAAAGAGAAAGAAAGTAGCTATTGTGTGATACAATAAATCGAAAAGTACCTGCCCACCAACCTATCCCTGGAGAAGAGGAAATGAGATAAAACAGAGCAGGAGCATCCACAACTGGAAACACACACACCGCCCCAACCAGAAGAAGAAAAAGAAACACCAAAACCCCCAGGTCTGAACTCCTGTGGGGCAAAGGGAATCATGTGAGAAAAACCCTCACGAAAGCTTATGCCCAAATAAATCTGTTAGTCTTTAAGGTGCCACCAGACTCCTTGTTGTTTTTGTAGATACAGACTAACACGGCTACCCCCTGATACTTCTCAGCACTTGACTCCCGAGGGGTCTCTGGAGCTGACTCTTGTTCCAGGGATACCAGGGTCAGGAAATACGACGGGGGAATCAGACCCAAATGCTGACACCTGGGAAAGAACCTTGCACCAACAGGGAATGCAGGGAAATGGCGACACATCAGATGTTTCCTCTCCCTGAACTCAAAGGAAAACTGCAGCGATTCATGATATTGCTTTGACCCAACCCCCAGTTACATCAGAATGTGCTAATTGGAGGGAACTGCGTTAACGAGACTGTTAAATGTAGGAAATTCAATACACACTGGTCTGGGGATGCAGAGGGGAAGGGTCTCGCAGTGGCACTGACTCACTCCCATTGCAGACACACAAACGCTGCTCCTGCCAGCCTCGGGCAGCACAAGTGGGTGACAGGGACTGGGCTCTGGCAGGGCAGTCTGGGCTCACGGGGAGCAGGGATGATGGACGATGCTGCAGAAGCTTCTTGTGGAACAAGGACATGGGGAAGTCCGGATGCTGTTGGAAATTGTAGCGAGGGGGCTGGGGTGCAGGAGGAGAACAGGCTGCCAGCTGCAGCATTGCCAAGTTTCATGGTATTTGCTCTTCCCTTAAGGCCCCAGCTCCTGGAGTCCTGGGTTTGTGGGACTTTTCTAACAGTGCTATTGAGGTTATATATTTCCTAAGCTTGGACTATTGCAAATTGTTCTGCTAGGGGATTTTTTCCACGCTGACTCCTTCTGCCCCTTGTACACAGAAACAAGCAGTATCTTAGTTCAAGGCCTGTAAGCAAGCTTGACCAAACTCAGGGCCTTGACTAAAGTTTAAGGCCTGCTAAATTTTCCCTCACACTATCAATACAAGGTGTTGGTGTAAAATTGCCAGCCAGCCCTGGTGCAGTCATCACTATGATGTGTTGTTTCCTCAGTGCCATTGGTGTGTATGGTGCTGTACAGCTGGGTATCATACAGCCCCATCCATCCCTGCCCTGACAACCTGCTGTGGGTTATACTCCTGACTAGAGTGTTAAACCTCCCAGCATCCTTTGCCAAAGTCTATTCTGGGGATGCCTGTGGCCTTACTGATCTACTCAGTCTGCCAATGTCAGACCTTGGGTACACACCATATCTTGATGCTCCACTGAGCTTCCTGACATCTCTGCCAAGATCAACAGCTCCACCTCATCCCTCTTGCCCATTCACCATTAGGTGGCTCAGCCACCCCAGATTGAACATCTTCCCCTCCTTGATCCAGCTCTGAATCATCATATCTGGTACCTGTTGTGTTTCTGGTCTCAGATTTAGAGTCCCCACACCTAGACTTTGGGGGGAGTTTAGATCCTAACTGTGTAGCCTGGGACTGTCTCTATCATAGACCCAAACCAGAACCCTGAGTTCACACAACAAAACTTTGGGGAAGGTCAGATTAGGACTCACAGCTGGAGCTAAACCTCAGGGCCCATCTCCAGTTGCTCTGTCCCAGCCCAGCATCTCCCTTTCCCCTGGTTCCCTCTTTCACTGATCACCCACAGCCACCTTAGTGTTTAGAAATGTGAGCCAGTTTAAGGTCTTTAAACCGAGATGAGAGGGGACGTCTCTTTCTACCAGACATGCTCTAGCACAGCCAGAAGTTAGCAGCTCAATGCAGGGATCCCTGCGGGAGGCTCTCTGGCCTGGGCTGTGCAGACGCTCTGACTAGATGGTCCCATTTGTCCCTTCTGGCCTTTAAATATATGACTATGAAAATAAACTGCTCTGGAAACTTCATGAGAACAGACTAAATGGAGAGAGAGCAAGAATGAGGCAGGGGGAGGAAGGGCCCTGAGTTCAATCCCTGCATTACCTGTGGACTCCTGTGTGCCCTGGGATCAGTCACTGAGTCTGTGTGCCTTGGTTTCCCCATCTGTGAAATAAGGATGTCTTCTCTACCTCTCAGGAGAGTGTGGGGATAAACCCCATTAATGATTATATGTGGGGATCAAATACTTCAGTGACAGGGAATGCAGAAGGAGAGAGAGCATTGATAGAAAGAGCATTTTATACCAGGGTTTCTTCATAGACAGTATAATTTAAAACCATCGATAGTGTAACTCCCTCGGGGACACTCTTATTGTGGAATCAGAGCCTTTGTCAGGTTCATTCATAGATTCTCAGGCCAGAAGGAACCACTGTGATCACATAGTCTGACCTCCTGTATAACACGGGCCAGAGAACTGCCCCCAAATATTTCCTGTTGAAACTAGAACATCTCTGAGAAAAACTTCCACCCTTGATTAAAAAATTGCCAGTGATGGAGAATCCACCACAGATCTTGATAATTTTCCCCATGATTAATTATCCTCACTGTTAAAAATTTATAGTTTATATTGCTTCTAAAATGACGTAAGATAAACCAGAAAAAGGCTCTTATACCAGAACCTGGGTGTGCACAGGGACTTACACTGGTATAACTGGAGCAATATCAATTCACTCCTTAGCTGATACCAGATAACTTCCTGTGAAGTAGTATAGCAGCAGGGGTTGCCTGGTTCATGGGGGGCAGGTGCTGGGTCTAGTCCATCTGCTTTGGAAACATGTCAGGGTGCCCACAGCTTTCACACAGCTGCCTCTATTGCCTCAGCAGGAGATGATAAATGTTCACCCTGCAGGGAAGGTTGGGGCAGCTGAGAACTGGACTGGCGGCTCAGCGTCTGCACAGTGTGGTTGTGCCAGAGGAGCTTTATCACAAAATCCCCATCACAGCTGGCACTGATCACCCTTGATTGCAGTCTGCCCGAGGGATAAGGATAGAATGGGCCATGGGGACACAGCCCCTCGCACCCCTACAGCTGTTGTCACACACAGATTCAGCACATGTACAATTGGCACAAGCACTTATGGCCAAACCCTCCAAAATGGCCAGTGATTTTGGGAGCCCAACTTGTGACACATTAAGGGGTGACAGACAGACTGCACTGAGCCCCCACCTGCTGGAAATCAGCCCCTTTAAGGTATCTTAAATGGGGGCCCCAAAATCACTGATTGCTTTTGAAAGTTTTAGTGTTTGTGCTTAACCATGCACGGTATTTAAATGTAATATTGTATCTCTCAATCCTCATATACGTCCTCTGTCTATCGCTCTATATCTCTATCCCCAAACATAGACATGTATAGATCTCTGTCTCGATTGCCAGCTCTGTGCAGCAGACTCCTTCAAGTCTCTCTTAAAGCACTAACATAGAGAGGAGCCCTGTGTGACATTATATGATTAAAATATGACCATGTAGATCATTGTTGCTACCACTGTTATACAATCACGATAAATTTTGTACAAAGTATGTCATGTAAGGTGTCAATGGAAAAGTTATGGTTTGCCGAATGTGATTATCCTATTTGTATGCATGCATCATTTTTGTATCTGAAATTATGAATACTGGCTGTGTACCTGTACTTCAAATGTGTTTGCTCCTGGGTAACACCCACAAGGTATTTACATCCAGTCTAGCCGGCACATTGTGAAGGGAATATTACGTACACAATGGGCCATGAAAGAATCTTATCCACACCTGAGGGACTTTCCTGAGAAAGCCAGACTATGGGTAATAGCTGCTATGACTCATCAAAGCATGCAAGGGCATGTAACTAGACCATGTGGTACTGAACTCCATCTTGGGTGCCTGTTCTTTTCCACAAACTGTGCTGAAGGTTTTGCCTGGAACAATGAGTTTCCCTCCATGTGACAGAAGTTATAAAAGGCCCTTGAAATATCTCTATGTTGACTCTTTCCTGCTCTGATCTCTGGACTATGGACTTGTACTAATGGGAGCTGTCAAGGCTGCTTCCCCACTTTGAACTTTAGGGTACAAATGTGGGGGCCTGCATGAAAACTTCTAAGCTTAACTACCAGCTTAGATCTGGTCCACTGCCACCATTCCCAAAGCTAATTCCCTTCCCTGGGAAGCCTTGAGAAACCTTTCACCAATTCCCTGGTGAATACAGATCCAAACCCCTTGGATCTTAGAACAAGGAGAAATTAACCATCCCCCCCCTCCTTTCCCCCACCAACTCCTGGTGAATACAGATCCAAACCCCTTGGATCTTAAAACAAGGAGAAATTAACCATCCCCCCTCCTTTCTCCCACCAACTCCTGGTGAATACAGATCCAACCCCATTGGATCTAAAAACAAGGAAAAATCAATCAGGTTTTTAACAAAAAGGTTTTTAATTAAAGAAAAAGGTAAAAATCATCTCTGTAAAATCAGTATGGAAAATAACTTTACAGGGCAATCAAACTTAAAGAGCTCAGGCCAGAGCAAAACGCTGTGTTAGAAATCGGATTCAAAGTACAGCAAACAGAGGTAAACA